ATCATTTGTATGACATGGGCTATTATAAAGTTCTTCCCCACGTCCAAATTTAAGTCAAATCTGTCCAGCATGCATGACATGGAATAATAATTAATTTAGAGGACAATAATGATTTATTGTCAATATAAAACTATTCGATCAATTAGTAAACAAATCTTGATTTGCATGTCAAGTCGTTACTACATGATTTAAAGTTAGGGGTCACGATTTTCTTTTGTTAAGGTTACGAGATTTATTTTATTATATACTAAAAGAATAGTTGATGACAATTGACAAGTTTAATGAATCTCAGAGGCCTAAATAAGTACATAGAGTTGTTACAAATTAAGTGTTTAAAGAAGTTAAATAATATGGGGTTGTGATGGTTCGTTAATATTATTAAGTTGGGTGTTTGATTGATTTTCGAGTACAATTATCAATGATTAAAATAGTAGATATATCATACAATTGGAAGAAATTGAGTCCATATATTATGTTTAAAACTTCTACTCATACAAAATCTCACCAGGAATTCTAAGTGTCTCGTTATATGTGATGAGAGAAATTCGCAATCACTATTCAAGAGAATGCATTGGGTAAGTTCCGCTTCTGTATAATAATATGTAAATTACACAGGAAAGGTAAAGTGTATTAGGAAAATCCCGTGGCTAGATCGAGAGGGTGTTGAGCTTACTGACAAGCTAAGCTAAGAGTCAAACTTGTGCTTTTCAAATACAAGAATCATAGTCCACCAACTCTTTTACCCTTTTCAGAGTGATTTTAGGGAGTGTTTGGCAAATAAACGTTAGTGGGTTTGACTAGTTGATAACATTATCTGATTGTAGAAAGATGTTTAATTAATAAATTAGTTATTAACTGATAGCTGATTATATGCAAAATAACATTTACGGGTATAATTTATTTTCTCAAAAACTTGATCGAAAAAAAAAAATCTTTTGAACAGCTTTTGTTAAAAAAAAAAAATTAACCAAACATTTATATTGATTGTTTAACCAAATCAAACAGCTAATAATGATCACACAAACTAAAATTAATTGATAAGCTAACTATGTTATCAAACCGGACTAATATTCCATCACTCAAATATACATGTGTAACAATTAATTGAATTTGAGCAAAGTTCATGCTTTTAAAGAAAATGAAAAAGATATTGTACTAGATTATTAGTTTGTAGTTAAATTTTGAATTAGCACACTTTGAATATATGCAGTATCTCATGTGTTGAAAGATTAGATAAAAATTTGACATTTAATGGGGATTTGAGTCCATTAAGATAAGGTCAGTCGGATAATGATTACTCTAGGGTTAAAGGCTTGAAATTGTTGGAATGAAGCTATCAATGATGGTAAATCCTTAGATCCCTTTCATATTTTCTTCTGAACAAAGCTTCAAAAACATGCTAATATAACATGTAACACATGGGGGAAAAATCATATAGGGTTGTTTGGTTTATACGGGAGTATGGGTAGTGGACTAGTGGGTCTAATTGTACCGAATAAGTTGAGTACTACAAATTTAAAATTTAGTTGAAATTTGAAAGAGTTTTATTTTATGAATTCGCCCGATATCATCCCAATTTGAAAGCTTGATTGTGGGAAGAATTTTTAGAATTTTTATTTTATTCTTTTTATAAATATACAAATATATTCAGATAAGAATTTAATTTTATGATCACATTTATATAAAATAAAGAAATTTTACAATGCAATATATTTGATCAAATCGAATTTGACTTATTACTCAAATTATTCAAGTTCGAACTTAACAATAGTAATTTATTAATGATTCCGATTCTTTGGGCAAATGTTTTTTTTCCTTTTCATTTGAACATTTGAAGTCCTCAAAAATATTTTTCGACACTATTTTATTGACAAAATTATCTCTCCTAGACATGAGAGCTACTATTTATAGAAAATATTGTGTTTAAACATGTAACTTGCCCCCTTAGGCTATTTTTTGACCACATCACCTTGCAAGTGTAAACTTGCAGGGATGTGTGGATCCTCATGCTATCCTTATTCCTGCAACTCTCTCATATTCAAAAGTAGGTTACACTCTCACATAATCACAATTGTAATTTCTTCACTATTCTCTCTACATCCATGCAATACTCTATCAGTAAAAGTGCTTTCATATTATATTATATTATAAATACAATAATAAGTTATAATAATAAAATAACAAATAAAAATTGTAAAAAACAATATACAAAAGGTTGCCATGCTGCCGACTTTTGCAAGTTTGCAAATCACATGCCTTACAAAATAAAAAGTAAAAATCACACCATCTTTCACGTCATTTTGCAAGCATTATCCTTTCAGGGATGGATTTAGTCTTATGGTATCTTTATCCTTGCAATACTCTTTCACTTTCAAAAGTTTGTTATACTTTCACATCACCAAATTTGTAATTTCTTTACTATTTTGCTTACATCCTTGCAATACACTCTCACTTTTAAAAAGGATCACACCTTCATATAACATCTAAATAAATAAATAAATTCAAAACTAAAACAAATAAAAAAAATACAAAAGTCTGTTGCAGGTGCAATAGTTGCAAGCTAAGCTTGCAACCCATGTAATAATAAAAAAATTAAATATTATTTTTTACACATCAACTCCATGTTATCTTGCAATTGCTCATCTTTTAGGGATAAACTCAACCCTAGTACATAGATGACTGTAACATAACTTATTAGCCAATTTTGGATTGTTTGATCACTATTTGTTAATAAAATGTATACTTGTAAAAATAAGTTACAAAAGAATATCTTTTACCCCTCTATGTTGTTATGGTTTATGGTACAAAACAATTGTTCAAAATATAGTTCAAGATTTAGTTCAAGTTTTTTGTTCTTAAATAGGTTGAGTCTGAACTAAGTATTAAGTGTTAGTTCAAGGGAAGCCTCATATCAGACATGCAGAATTGGCAAAATTGATGACTGAATCAGTTAAGAGGATAGTTCGATATGAAGTTCAAGACAGTTATTCTGTTACATATTTTACCAAAAAAAAGTACTTAAAGTTTGTTCTCTCATTATGAAGTGGGGGTGATTTACATAGAGGAGAATCAAGATATGCTTTAAGGCAGATCCAAGAGGGCTAAACTGAGTGATTTGACATACAAAACTCCAAGTCAAGCCAATAATCAATTCGTAGTTGCATATGTGTTGTTGATCACATGAAGATAACACGGAAGTGTTGCAATTGAGGAGAAGCCTCAATTTGATTGATCGGGAGATCACTTCACCGATCCTTCAAAAAGAAACTCTCCAGCCAGTTGGCTGTGGTATAGCTGTGAAATCGAGAGTTCTTCGTGTACATCATTGTGATTTGGTAAATTGTCTTCCTTTGAAGTTGAATGAAGAATCGGGCAATCTCTTCATGTGTTGCCCCCCAAACGTGATAGTTTTTTTCAAAATGGGTTAACAAATTTCTAGAGTCTTCTTATTGCTTTCAATTATTGATTATTGTGCGTTATTTAGGTGAACTAAGTTATGCAACATTAGTCGAACTAGCTCACAAGCTACTTCTCTAGGAATTGAATCTGTATTATCAAGTTCATTACTTGTTGATTTATTTTTTATTTTTATTTATTTATTTATTTATTTTTTTTGGTGAACATTACTTGTTGATTGAATTCACATTAAATCACTAAATAGGTAATTGGATTAAGGGCTAGAATTGCTCAGATTTCACTATTAACAGTCAATATGAGTGTTTGGGTAATTAGCATTTTGTAACAACTTATTACTCCAAAATGCTAAAATTCAAAAAACTGTTCAAAATAACTTTTTCAGCCACCTTTTTGAGAAAATAAATTATTTTCTCCAAAACACCCCCAATAATTAAAAAAAAAAAAAATGATGTGTAGACGGCCTCAACAGTCCTGTTGCTCTCATTGTCTCTTCACGATACTAGGCATTGAAGTGCTTGAGCGCGTTGCCTAATATCATGAACGCAATTAGTAACGAGACATGTGATTACTGATTGCCCCTTCATTGTACAGATATGTCCCCAACTTTTACTCACTTCACATCAACAACTTGTTCAACACTCTCACCATCATCTGCTATAACAAATTATACCCATTATCATCATTAGTCAAATACAAGATTGCTTTAGAGCATCTATAGTAGTTGAAATTTTGCACAGTTTTTAAGAATGACATGTAGGAGAGAGATAAATTAGGAGTGAAAAAGAAAAGAAAAAAAAAGATTTTCTAACGCTTAAAAAAAAATAGAAAAAGGTGTGTTTTAGTCCGAACTGGCGGCCGCTCTAACGCGTCCCAGCGGGCGCGTGGGAAACACGCTCCCACTGAGGCGCGAAGTTGCTGCAAAACGGGCTATTCCGCGCATGTTTTTTTTCCTCCTGCAAAAAACCTTGTTTTGCAAGAGGAAAAATAAGACAAAATCCATTGCTCTCATCAGCCAAAATTTATTGCTACTGTTCAAAAAATCATCTAAAATGTACTACTATGGATGCTCTTAACATGTTTGCATAGACATTCACTTGGTACTTAGATGGTAGATTATGTATAAAGATGTATGATTAAAAACTAATAGTTGAAACCAGCTTAGTTGACATGACTGGTAGTGTACTCTTATTTTTTAAGAGAGGTTGAGAGTTCGTGAGTTTGAAACTCCTTTTCTCGTATGAAAAAATTAATATAATTAACACTTTGTCATTTAATTGGGTCAACCTAGTGCGAATGAAAATTAATTTAAGTATGATATAAATTTAAACGGTGTCTTCTATAGTTAGGTGCTTGGAAATGTAATATGTTGCCTTTTTTTTTTTTTACATCTTAGAAATTTGTGTCAATTTAATTGAGAAGAAGATTGGAACAAAAATTTTCTCCTCAAACACCGTTCTGAGTTGGCGCGCTTCCATCCAAAAATAGGATCCATTTCCCACCCTCCAAGCCTAGCCCCTCACAGTTTCAGCATTATGGAAAACTATCACCCAACGATTCTTCAACTAAGTTCTTCATTTCACCCTCTTTCACCATGCCTCTGCAATTTTTCTAACTCTTTCCGGTAAATGCAATTCGTCTTAGTCTTGCGATCAATTCTCCTTTATGCATCCGTTTTAAATGATTCAAATTCTGTGTTTACAAAATCAGGGTTCAAATATTAATTTTGATATTCCTATAGGATGATTATTACTGTTAGCGTGCATGGGCAATCAGTTTTGATTTTTGTTCTTATTTATTTGGTTATGATAATTGGATTGTGTCAGCCATTTTGGTAATTAATGATCACTGGAGAATATAATTAATGAAAGAATGAAATCTTATCTAATCAAATCATATGATTGTCTCAAATTGGTATTTTTCAGGACTTTTTTTTTGGGGGGTTTTTTTTTTTCCAGGTATACAATGAAATGATACGTTGTATAAATTTGCAGTTTAGGGGCTTGGTCTATGTGATATTTCTTGTGCCCACATGCCGGTTAAAGGATAGCAGGAATTTTCTCAACTACTGGCTGATATGTTGTTTTATCGCCATTTCATTCATAGTCCATGAAATTGGTTCTGCACAATCTTCAAGACTCAGTGTATTGGTGGGCACAAAGAAAAATTTGTGAGGTATGCAAAATGGATGAGCCAGTGGATTTCTGATGGCATTGGAACATTAAATGATTTGAAGTTATAAAATCTGTTTTTTGGTGATTCTTGGGTGGTATAGGTTGGAGGAGTTTGATTGTAGGTTATCATTTAAATCAGATATGGCCGGAAATATGAAATGTGGGTTTAGTATAGAGGGTGTGGGGTCTGGTTGCCCTGCCAACTCTTCAGCGTCAATAAGACTAGGTATGATAAAAGGGTCTGAAGGACTAATGACATTTGGGCGATCACTAAAATCTGGAGTCACACGAGCTGTGTTCCCCGAGGATCTCAAAGTCTCGGAAAAAAAGATATTTGATCCTCAGGACAAGTCTCTCCTGTTCTGGAATAGGCTTTTGGTCATATCGTGTATTTTTTCAGTATCAGTTGATCCTCTGTTTCTCTATCTTCTGGTGTTCAATAGTGAAGATAACTGTCTTCAATTAGATACGAGTTTAGCCTATACAACTACTACTCTGCGGACATTAATTGATACATTTTACCTTATCCGAATGGTTCTACAATTCCGCACAGCTTATATTGCTCCCTCATCTCGAGTATTTGGACGAGGTGAACTTGTAATAGATCCCAAACAAATAGCTAGCAGATACATACATCGTTATTTTGCCATTGATCTTCTCTCTATTCTTCCTCTTCCCCAGGTTTGTTTCTTTTATCCATCTTTTACTTGCACCATTTTGACATTTCATATGATTATCATATACTGTGGCTCTGCTCTTCAACCACAAACATAATGACTTGGTTTAAAATGAAGAAAATTGCTCTACTCAAGTTAGGAAATCTGTTATTCATTTTATTTTATCTTTTAATTCCTTGTAATCCGCAGATTGTGGTTTGGAGATTCCTTAATGGATCAAAAGGTTCAGATGTATTAGGCACAAAGAGAGCTCTCGTGCTCATTATCATTCTTCAGTATATTCCTCGGTTTTTGCGATTTCTACCTCTAACTTCAGAGTTGAAAAAGACTGCTGGTGTATTTGCAGAAACTGCCTGGGCTGGCGCTGCATACTATATGCTGTGGTTTGTGCTTGTTAGCCATGTGAGTAGCTTTATGAATGACTCTGTTGGTCATATGTCATTTCCTTACTACTTTCTGGCCAACAAATATTAGTTTCGTTTCTAGATGCTTTCCACTTGGGAGTTTTTGCACAATTGATGCATACAATATCTATCTAGTGCTAAAAACTTCTCTTTTTTTTTTTTTTGAATGCTACTGACTCTATTACAATGTAGTATCTGTTCATAACTACTTTCTGAACCTACTGAACCACTCAGAGCCCTTATTTATTTATTTTAGCATCTCTCTTATTGCAAGAGTGTATTGTTTGTGGCACTTAACCAAGATACAACACATATGCAAGAGCTTCACCTAAACCAAGGGAAATCATCTCAGGCTTACATATATATGTTTGTTGCTTATAATATGCAGATATTTGGGGCCTTGTGGTATCTATTAGCTATAGAACGTAAAGATGCCTGCTGGGCAGATGCATGTCAAGTCAGTGAGGAATGCTATGGAAAATTTTCTCTATTGTATTGTATGCATGAAAGAGGAGAGGCAGATATGGCAGCCTGGAGAAACATCACTCGAGAAGTTCTCGAGAAAAATTGTGCTGTTGATGCATTTAAGTATGGCATATATGCAAAAGCTGTGTCATCGGGTGTTGTTGACTCTGAGGAGTTCGTCACTAAATACTGTTACTGTTTGTGGTGGGGCCTGCAAAATTTAAGGCAAGCTATTCTTCATACCAATTTATGCAACAACAAAAACTGTTCAATTGATTTAATTTATTTTTCACTTTGGATGAACTGATTGTTTGCTTTTGATTTTTAAAATATGTTCACTTTGAATGTTCAAAATCAGTACTTTAGGAAATGAGGAAATCCCGGGAGTATAACTGGATTGCTATTTCACTTTTTGTAGTACTCTGGGGCAGGGGCTTCAAACAAGTACTTATCCTCTGGAGGTTCTCTTTTCAATAGCATTAGCCATTCTTGGGCTCCTTCTGTTTTCTCTTCTCATTGGAAACATGCAGGTACGTCTCCATTAAGTTTATGAGAATTTTGTAGGGGTTGCTTTACTTTGGTTTAGAAATTACTCGGTGTCTTTATCTGAAGATTGTGTGTTTATGCAAGTTCCTACTAGACATAGGTAAGGGTTGTTTGAATCTTGTTTTATTCAACAGACCTATCTTCAATCTATAACGGTTCGGCTAGAAGAGATGAGGATAAAAAGGCGTGACTCTGAACAATGGATGCATCACAGAGTACTACCACCTGAGCTCAGGGAAAGAGTTCGGCGTTATGAACAATTCAAATGGTTGGAAACGAGAGGAGTAGATGAAGAGAGTCTGGTCCAAAATCTACCAAAAGACCTGAGGAGGGATATCAAGCGACATCTGTGTTTGAATTTAGTTAGAAGGGTAAGCATATTTGTTAGCCTGTTTTAGCATGACATGTTTGTGAGATGGGTGTTTGCGAGAATTGCAGGTGCCTCTTTTTGCAAACATGGATGAACGGCTGCTAGATGCCATATGCGAGCGACTCAAGCCAAGCTTATACACAGAACAGACATACGTTGTTCGAGAAGGGGATCCAGTCCAGGAGATGCTCTTCGTGATCCGGGGACGCCTCGAGAGTATCACGACAGACGGTGGAAGAAGCGGTTTCTTCAACCGAGGCATTCTAAAAGAGAGTGATTTCTGCGGTGAGGAGCTGCTGACATGGGCGCTGGATCCGAAAGCGGGCTCTAACCTGCCTCCCTCAACTCGCACCGTGAAGGCCTTGACAGAAGTGGAAGCGTTTGCACTGATAGCCGATGAACTGAAGTTCATCACCACTCAGTTCAGGCGCATCCACAGCCGGCAGGTGCAGCACACTTTCCGGTTTTACTCACAGCAGTGGAGGACTTGGGCGGCGGTGTTCATCCAAGCCGCATGGCGCCGCCACATCAGGAGGAAGATTTCAGAGATTCGGAACAGCGAGATTGACGAGAATGAGAATATGGTGGATGAGGATTACTACGAGGAGGAAGAGGACGACAACGACGATGATGAAACTAAGGCGTTGATTTCTAGTAACAATTCAGGCCTCCGCGCAACCATGTTAGCATCCAGGTTTGCTACCAATGCTCTGCGCAAAAAGCGCCAAACATCTGCTAAATTAACCATGAAACCGCCGAAACCACCTGAGCCTGACTTTGGTGATGACTAAACTACATTTTCAACAATAACTTTTAATGTTTGTTAACTTGTAAGAAGCTCTTCTTTTTTTTTTTTTTTGAAGTTAACTTTTATGTTAACAACGCCTGCAACCGCTAATCAAAAGTGAGTTTCGGGTAAAGAACGTCATGTGATCCATAGACTGTTTTTATGAGTCGTCAAACTTAAAATTTTGTCGTTATCAAATCAATTTTCAAACTACTTGACTAAGGATTGCTCATAGAAAGGTTTTCCTTGTTGTATGTATGTGTAGATATGTGGTAGGAAATGTTTGATGCCTTGTAAAGAAACTTGCTTATTATCTATATAGTAGAGGTCCCATGGCATGATTTAGTATGAAGTGTATAATCGTATTTAATTGTATGCAAGTTGCTAGGATAATGACACAACCTAGTTGGTATAGTTGTGCCTTGCAGATTTGTGGTTTAACTCCTAATGCTTGCACCACCCTTGGTGCATCGACATAGTTTTTGAGAAGTTTTTGTATGCGTGACTATGAAAGAGAAGATGAAAAGGAAGGGAAAAAAAGAAAAAAAAAAAAGAGAAAATAAAATCTAAAAAATAAAATAAAGAAAAGTGTCAGGTTAACACGTCCGCTTGGCGCACCTGGTGTGCTCGCACACTAAGGAGCTTTTTGCTTTTCTGGTGGGCTCTATTTTTTTTGCAAAAATCAATGATCTTCTGCAATAACCCATAATACTCTCTCCTATATCTTTTTATTTTTTTATTTATTTTTATTTTTTTATTTTTATCTAAGCTTTAAAACCTCCTGCCAAAATCCACTATTGTGAATGCCCTTATATACTAAATAAAAAAAATGTTTGACCAATCTACTCACCTAGGGATGGCAACGGGGCGGGGCGGGGGCGGGGAGTATACTCCCTGTCCCCGTCCCCGTCACCGTCCCTATCCCCGGCGGGAAATTAGAAATATTCCCCATCCCCGTCCTCACGAGGAATTAGGCGGGGACGGGGATTCCCCACTCCCCGTCAACTTCTAAACAAAATGTTAAATAATTTTAAATTTTAATAATAAAATTTTTAAAATATAAATCATAATTTCAAAAATTAAAATAATATATATATATATATATATATAGCATACTGCATGTGTATATAGTACAGTGCAATAATACTGCCACTTATATATATAAGTGGCAATATATGTACACTTATATATACGTAATTAACTATAACAGTACACTTATATATATGTAATTAACTACAACAGTACACTTATACTAACAATATTTATATATGTAATATATATATATATATATATATATATATATATATATATATATATATATATAATTATTTGGGGGTGGGGCGGGGAGGGGTGTCCCCATCCCCGTCCCCGTCCCCAACGGGGAATCACAAATGTTCCCCGTTCTCGTCCCCGTTCCCCGAAAATCTTCCCCATCCCCGTCTCTTTCGGGGCGGGGATCGGGGATTCCCGTTGGGGACGGGGCACATTGCCATCCCTATACTCACCGTATTTTTTGATCTTCAAGCTAGCATTTCTTGAATGCTATTGACTCTATTACATTATAGTATTTGTTCAAACATACTTTCTCAACCTAATGAAGCACAAAAATACATAAAATTCAAAATTTGTGAATATAATTCGAATTCACTTTGCAATGTGAGTACATAGCATAATTTGCCGTGTAAATTGATATGGGTCAACATACACTGAAAGCATAGATAATAGATACGGAGTAATAGATAATATATAAGAGAAAATTTTAATTTTGGTCACATGACTATAGGTGCATTGTTAATTTCAACACTTGATTTTTAAAAGTGTCAATTTAGTACCTTGACTATGTAATTTTTGTCAATTTTGGTCACTCCGGCCAAATTGACAGTCAAATTTGGCCGGAAAAATTTAATCCAACATTTAGTCTAGAAAGGATTAAAAGACGATTTTGCCCCTCAGATTATAGACTAAATGTTTGATTAAATTTTTTCGGCCAAATTTGACCGTCAATTCGGCCGGAGTGACCAAAATTGACAAAAATTACATAGTCAAGGTACTAAATTGACACTTTTAAAAGTCAAATGCTGAAATTAACAATGCCCCTATAGTCATGTGACCAAAATTGAAATTTTCTCTAATATATAAATAACACAATGAGACACAATAAATTATGTAAAAACTCCAAAGGGAAAAATCGCAAACTTTTTTGAGTTGAGTTTGGCCGAAGTATTCTGGCATATTATGCTGTGCATCCGTATGCACCCTGCATGGTGCATACGGATGCAAAAACGATGTCGTTTTGCATAAGACGTGTGCCCTACTTAAAAAAAAATCAGTTTCGATTCCCAACAACAATATTATGTTATTTATTTTTAATTCATTCATTTTGGATTTTTTAGTTATGAAATTCTGGAAGTGTAGTTATGCAATTCTGGAAGTGTAGTTATGGATGTGTAGTTATGCAATTCTGGAAGTGTAGTTATGAAATTATGGATGCGTAGTGAAATTATGGACGTGTGTTATGCAATTTTGATTTTTTTTTTTTTAAATTAGACACCAAAACGACGTCGTTTTTGCATCCGTATGCACCATGCATGGTGCATACGGATGCACAGCATAACGCTCCCACTATTATTATTGGGATTATAGATGCATATATTTAGGCCCATTTAAATACATTTCGCAAATCATACTGTGGAAACGTGTTCATCATGCGCATGGTGAATACATAGGTAGATCCATAATTTCTATGCTGTAGATTCATAATTTTGTTTTTTATTTGTTGTTAAAGACGTTTCTCTCTTCGCAATCGCATTATTTCTTCTTCGCAGTACAGATATTATGAATCTACAGTACAGAAATTATGAATCTACATTATAGAAATTATGAATCTACAGTATGGTATAGATGTTATGAATCTACAGCTTAGAAATTAAGAATCTATCCCGTGTTTACTATCCGCATGGTGAACGCGGTTCCACATCATAACTATTGAATACATTTGGGGTAGGTATATAATCAGCAATTATATCGTGGCTTTGTGGACCATGGTAAAAAAAGGGCATCGTTTTCTTTAAGTAAAGAAAGATAGTCGTTACAGCTTAACGAAGCACGTATTTTTTGGTGTGTTAATTACCAAATGAAATTACAGTGTATCTAAACTAAAACTGTCTCACGTATTGTTTTTATATTATCAAATGAAACTGCAATTGAATTGAAATGAAACTGTAGTTGTGTTGAAATGAAACTGCAGTGTATACAAAATGAAACTGAATAACAATTTCACATATTTGAGTGTATATTGTCTAAAGAAACTGTAGTTATATCAAAATGATATTGTAGTTGTGTTGAAATGAAGTTGTAGTGAATACAAAATGAAATTGAATTACATTTTACATATTTGAGTGTATATTGTGCAATAAAACTGTAGTTATATCAAAATGATAATGTAGTTGTGTTGTAATGAAATTATAGTGTATATAAAATGAAACTGAATAACAGTTTCACATATTTGAGTGTATAATATCGAATGAAACTGTAGTTATATCGAAATGAAATTGTAGTTGTGTTGAAATGAAACTGCAGTGTATACAAAATGAAACTGAATATGTTATACAATCAAAGTTATTTTTTCCGGACGGCGTGGAACTGGTGCCGTTTCTTTTTATTAAAAGAAACGACTCCGTTTTGATGACTGAACCACAATGCGTTATGGATCGCGGTCCACCGTATAATTTGCCATATATAATTTGATAGAGTATTGCATAAGGAGTGTATTGAATATATTTCCAAAGGATTTTGGTAAGTAGGAAAGTTCAAACTTTTGGGTAAATTTAAAAAGTGAAAAAATTATTTCTACGTTTGGTGTAATATTTGACATATATAGAAAAGTAAATTCTACCTAGGGAAGCTAAGATTTTTTTATTTTTTATTTTTTTTATTTTTTTTGGGTAGTTGGGGATCTATCAAATTTATTCAACTAGTATTTGCGCCCGTGCGTTGCACGGAATGAATTTGTTATAAAATTTTAAAAATATTTATATCGATATACAATTGTATAAATTATAAAATCGAATATTATATAATATAATTGAAGAATTGAGTTGCACCGATTATGTTTTCTGATGTTATCAATGCTTGAATTCGAATAAATAATTGCCCAATTAATAACTAACGTGTAGATATACGCATTCGGTGTTGTGACTTTAGAGATTTTATATATCAGTGTTTATAATTTGTATTAATTGGGCTAATTAGCTCGTTGTCTAGCAACTCAGTTATATAAATTATTTATACGGAAGATATATTTTCTATGTAGATCAGCTATATAGCAATTTTGTCATTTTTGTATATAAAAAAAAAACATAATATCAATGGCTTAAATTATACATTATTGAAAATCTCTTTATAGCTAGACGACATTGGTAGTAGTAACGGAATTTTATCCATCATCGTCTAAAGTTAAAACTATCAGACTATCAGGATGGGTGACTCGGAAAAAAGTAACATACAATTAACCGTGATTAAAGACTGATTTTTTCAGTAATAACTCAAATATTATATAGTGCAATTAAAGATATGGTTTCGCCCGTGAATTTGTTGTAATATATTAAGAATATCTGGATTGATATATAATTATTTAAATTAGAACATTAAATATTATATAGTGCAATTGAAGATATAGTTTGGATCGTTTATATGTTTTGATGTTATCGTTGCTTGAATTTAAACAAATAATTGCTCAAATTAATAGCTAATGTGTAGATATACGCATGCAGTGTTGTAACTTTGAAGCTTTTATTTATCATTGTTTAGTATTTTTATAAATTAGGCAAACGTGCTCGTTATTTAGGAACTCAGTTATAGGAATGAATTGCTATCCTAATTCATTTGTATGAATTTTTTTATTTTTTATTTTTTTTTGTCTAAATTGCTTTAAAAATTTTTATTTATTTTTTGTGTGTAGATATATAGCAATTTTGTCATTAAAAAAAAACATAATATCACCAATTGTATTTACACATTATTAAAACCTCATATTGTAGA